CAGTAGAGGAAGATGCCCCCAGGCTGCACCCCCGGGCTAGGGTTCTTGTTGTCTCCTTTGTTTGGATCTTCTGGAGCTGCAAACCGCAGCAGGGCTGGAGTCTTTGCGTCACTAGACTGTATTTGTTTCCTTCTGCTCCGTGGCAGGAATGCTCGGTGCCCATGTGGGTGGCAGGGGAAATCTTGGCTTACCTGCCACTACCATGGCAACCAGGTGACCTAAGGACTCCAGAAGTAAGCCCTTTCAGATTGAGACAGAGAAGAATTGAAGCAAGCCGGAAACAAACAGAAAGAAATCTGTGAATGGAGAAACCACTGGAGTCTTGCACCTGCAGCTTTCTGTGTCATCAGCAGCGAGGAGAATCCGTCCTGTTCTCTTCCCCACCCACCAGCTCAGCCGCCACCAAGGGCTGCGGATCAGCTGGTCCTGCCTCCTGCCTCTAGCATGACCCCACTTCACCCCTCCAAGAGGCCCGTGCTCTTCTGCTCAGCATCCCCAGGGAAGGGAAGAGCCCCGCCCTCCATTCCCAGTGCTCTCAGCGTCCCCCTCATGACACAGAGGACAGTCCTGGGCCGTGAGCTGGCAGATCTGTGTTGTGACCCCTTACCCATGTCACAGGGGTGGACTCCCCTCTCTCGGGAGCTCTGTTGAACTTTACCGAAGGCATGGCTCCCTCCTCCCCGTAGGGAGTAAAATAGAGCTGTAGTAGGAAGAAAACTATGCAATTGAGGTCCTCATGGAAACGTGAGTTACAATTGTAAAACTCGCCCAGAAGGATTTACTTGTGCCAGGCGCTGTCTCCAGCACTTCTGTGGGCGTGACCGCACTCAATCCTTATAGCCACCCTCGGAGGGGGCAAGAGTTGCCTGCAGCAGAAAGATAAAGAAGCCTCAGAGAGCGTGAGGGACTTGCCCAAGTTTGCGCAGCTCGTGAGCATGAAGAGGCATTCAAACCTAAGGAGTCCATCTCTGAAAACATGCTCTGCATTCCTCCCCCACACGCTGTCCCTTGGAGGCCAGGGGCTTTGAGAAGACCCGAGTTTTCTTGCCTTAGCCATTCCCTGGGCCCCAGAGCCCCGAGCAGATCATTGAGGAGTGTCTGGTGCCCTTTGCAATTAACAATCCTCTTTGATGTGTGGCGTTTGCAGAGCTCAGCAGACAGGATGGTAAAAATAAATAAATAAATAAATAAATAAAATGTAAAATAAAAATTACCAAAAAAAAGATGGTAATGATCGCCCCAGCCCAAGGGCTGGAGCCTCAGGAGCTGGGCCAGGGGTGGGGGGCCCATGCTCTGCCACACCCTGGGGCCCCTCCCATCAGCACACACTCCAGACTGTGCACCTGTGACATGCTGGGCTCTGCGGGACACACAGGAGCAGCCCGAATCCTGGAAGACAAGTGCCAAGTTCTGGTTTCGGTGCAGGGAGAAGAGACAGATGTGCAGCTAGCAGGCCTGAGAAACTTGGTGGAGGGGCTGGGGGGCGGAGGGTGCAGGCAGGGGTGTGGGAGGGACGGGGGTGGGACAGAGGGCCCAGGAGGGATGAACAGAGCAGGGTGGTAAGCCACTTGGTGTTTGGTGTCAGAAAGACCAGCCTTCCCGTTCTGGCCATGCCGCTGGCCAGCTGAGTGACCTGCAGCTGGTCACTGAACCTTCCTCTTCCTGGCCTCAGAGATGTTCACCACTTCCGTTGCCCGGCTCCAACACGCCAGCTTTTAATGGAATTGACTGCAGAGCTCATCTTCATGAAGTCGGGCCACTGGCTCAGTTCCACTTCTCCTGCTCCTGACCCGTCAAAGACAGAAAAGCGTCCACATTAAGGCCTCCTACAAGCCTTAAACATAAAGAAAATTATGGCCCTTCTCCCAAATGTACATAAAAATATACTAGATCATAAAATACAAAACTTATGTAAATGCCAAGGTTAAAATAACATCTTTCCAGATTTACTATTTTTTTGCCCAAATCCTGGATTGCTTCCTTCATCAGAGTGAAACTTTTCCAACAGTTTTGGTGTCCTTGCTTTCTAATCTTTGTAGCACCTGAAATGAGTTCCTATTCTGTCTTCTTCATTGTCTGGTTCTGGAGGACGAGGAGCCCCCAGGGAGACAGCACCCATTTGGCCTCTAGGCCCCATAGCCAGGCACTGGGACCAGGCCGGGTCATGCTGTCCCTGTCCCCACATATTGTGTGGGGGTCCGGGGCCCCCAGTGAGCGCTGGTGGTGTGGTCACCCTTCCTGAGTCATGTTGGAGAGCCCAGGTCTTGTCATCGGTTGTGCAGAGCCAATAGCCCTTTCTGCCCTGTCTCCCCGCTGCCGCTTGGAAGCAAGGAGTTCAGTCTTCTCTGTCACTTGGTGGCGTTGCCAGGGACCGGAAGTCATGTCTCCTACTTCATTGGCAATTTGACATGGCTGCTTAACAACCCGATTAATCAAACCCAGCTCATCCTGTTAGAATTAATGAGCCCAGGAAAGGCTGCCATGAATAATGAGGGATTTTGCCCCTCCCCCAGCACCTCTCTCTGCTCACTCCCTCTTAGTTCTTTCTCCGAGTTACACAGCAACTACTCACTACCCAGTGCCATTAGACCTGGAAGGCTGTGGCAGGTGCCCAGCAATTTGGGCATCTCCTACCTCTTCTACTCTCCTAGGCACCATGGCTGTCCACCAGGTGCCAGAACTAGCCATGTCCTCGGGGATCAAAACTTCCTGTTCATCAAAGAGATAGGAATGCATTTTGCCATCAACACTGCAAGGAGGATCTGCTTCAGGCACTGCACTAGGTGCTAAGGACGGAAAGTTAGATAAGCTATTGTCCCTGTAAGCGGTCATGGTGCAGGAACCCAGAGAGAAACGGGAGAAGTGCTACAACAGTGGGTATGAAAAGGGTGAGAGCTACAGTGAAGGGGGCCTGTCAATACTGGAGGAGTGGAGTGGGGAACTGGGAAGGGTTTACGGAGATGAGGCACTCTGAGCATTTCTGCTACCAAGTTCATTTATGGCATGTACATATGCTGAGTGCTGGGCACTGAGCAAGGTGCGGGGGTCTGGAAGTCCACAAATGGACATGGTTCCCATTCTCATGGAGCAGACATCTCATCCCCGTTCTTCAGGGCAGTGCAGGGAACCTGAGCAGACACTTGATTAATTTTTTCATTTACTCATTCAAACACAGCTATTGTTGAGGGCCTTCAGGGAGTAGGGTGAGGCATTGAGGGGATAGGGTCCAAAGATGAACCACCCCTGATCCCTGCCTTCCAGAGCTTCTCTGAACATTAGAGAGGCATACTCACAAGTCCTTACAAGGATGTGCTCAGTGCTCTAACACGTACATACCCAAGGCACTCTGCAAAAGGTGCTTAGAGATCAAAGCTCTGAGCTCAACCTGCAGAAGACTCAACCTGGGGCGACTCCCTGTAGGAGACGGCATTGGAACTGTGGTGAAGATGAGAAGCAGTTTGACAGACAGACCAATATAAGAATATTCTAGACCTCATCCAGGCCAAGTTGTGGTCTTTGAGTGACAGGGGATGAATTGGAAGGGAAAGATGATTCTATGCATCTTTGGAGGAAACAGCTGGTTCTGCAGTCTATGGCAAAGAACATGATTAAATATGTTTTATAGGTCAGGTGCTTCTGTGCTTGCTTATCCAAAACTGGGAGCAAGATGTGGTTTCTCGAATGATGGAATCTCCAGATTAGCAGGGATACGGTTTAAGTGACCAAATTGCAAACACACCAGTTCGGGGCTCAGGACCATCTTCTGGGTCCTTTGGCAGGAGAGAGATGGAAGGGCTGGGTCCAGAATAAATGAAGTGGGGGTGGGAAGGTGGGTATAGGAAGTAAGGAGAAAGGGAAACCTGGAGTAAGTCAGAAGAAAGCCCAGGTTGGGGGAGGTGGGTGGGCCCAACTGCTTAAATCTCTAGGAAAGTAAATGAAGGAGTTGAGTCGGTTGGATTTAGCAAGCAGAAACCATGGACTCTGAGTTGGGAGGGGGAAAGACAACACATTGGGGAGAGAGGGCAAAGGGAGGGGAGAGAGAAAGGAAAGGGGTTGTGGAGGCTCATGGAGACACTTCAGGCCACCATGTCAGGTCTGGCAGGAAGCCAAAGCCCACCAGCTTCAGTCATGGTCATGGACATGTTGTCACAGGGTATACAGGAGGCTAAGCCCATCTCTGTGATCCACTCACGCCATCTAGCTGGGCCGGGTCCTCTGCCTCTCTGCTTCCAGATCTGTCCAGACTAGGCTTCACATCCACTCCCAGCCAGGCCCCAAGTTCATGCCTGCAGAGATACACATCCCACCTCTTGGGTACCTGGGTTCAGCCCTGTCCCCACCTGCCAAGCTTTTGCCAACCAGAGACTCAGGGCAGGAGGCTTCACAGAGGGACAGGGGTCTCCATGTGCTGGCCTGCAGGGGAGTACAAAGGTCCCAAACTTGGACCAAATGAATGCTCACAATAAATTTAGAAGACCTGCTTTTGTTGTTGACATTTCACTATTGGGAGGCTTTACATAAAAATTGTCACCCAGATTCCCACGTGTACAGTGGGATGGAGCTAATGGTGGCTGTCCCTTTAACTTGGGGTCTGGGCCTTAGATTGGCCCCAGTCCCTAGAGCTGCCTTGTGTCACTTGCATGGTCTTTCTGCCTCTGAGAGCATCTGAGTTTGAGACCCCTTTACAGAGAAGTCCATCAGGCTGACAGGGGGCTTTGGATGGCAGAGGGCTTCCATAAAAATCGACCCACTCATTTCACAGGCACCCTAGGACTTGGGCAGCCCCCAATGGGAGCCAAGGCACCAAAATGCTAGTTGAGTGCTCTGAAGCTGCCTGACTCCCCTGTTCCCCGTGGATTCTGGTGCTTCCCACCAAAGCCAGTGACCAGTTTAAGTGGTGTGGTCTGTCCTACCTCAGTGGCCCAAACCACCACTCCAGCCGCCACCCACCTGCCAGACTTCAGATCCAGAACTCACCACCTTCTGCCTCTCTCCTGCAGGGGGAGCTGCTGAGCCCGTGCCGCTGTGATGGCTCAGTCAAGTGCACGCACCAGCCCTGCCTCATCAAGTGGATCAGCGAGCGGGGCTGCTGGAGCTGTGAGCTGTGCTACTACAAGTACCACGTCATTGCCATAAGCACAAAAAATCCTCTGCAGGTATGACCGGGGCGGGAGAATGGTTTCTCTAGCGTGGAGAAAAGGAACAAGATGGGCTAGTTGGGCACGATTGCCGTGGCATGCGGGCAGATGGGATGAGAGAGCTCTTGTGTTTTCTCCTCAGCCTTAGCAAGAAGAGAAAGGGATGGGGCAGAGACAGAAGGAAGATTTAGAAGGAAAGAGGTGTGGAGAAGTAGATGGTAGACAGGATCAGTGAGCTAAGGGATGGATGGATGAGTGGATGGATGGATGGGTATAAGGGTGAGTGGATGGATAGATGGTGGATGGATGGATAGACGGAAAGAAGGATGGATGGATAGATGGGTATAAGGGTGGGTGGATGGATAGATGGGTGCATGGAAGGAAGGGTGGGGAGGCAGGGAGGAGAATAAAAGGAATAGGGCAGATGAGAGTAGGATGGAAAAAAGATGAAGGGTGAGAGGTGTGGGAGAAAGACTGAGGAAAGCTAAGAGAGGAAAAGCAGAAATAAGGAGCAGACTCAGTGGCCCATCCCAGACTTTAAGGTGCATCCAGTTCACCTGGAATCTTGCTAAAATGCAGACTGTGACTCAGGAGTCCAGGGCTGGGCCTTAGATTCTGCATTTCTAACAACCTCTGGGTGATGCTGATGCTGCTGGCCCACAGACCACACTCCATGTGACGAGGGCCAGAGAAAAATGGAGAAGAGACAGGAGAGGGAGGCAGCGAGAAACAGAATGGAAAGAAGGAAAAGGAGGGACTGAGAAGGGGCTACCATCAGGGGCAAGGGAAGAGCGGCCAGGCGGGAGTGGGGTCTGTCACACGGATTCCAGGGATTGGGACAGGGCTGTACCCCCATCCTCCCCCACCCTCTGGCCCTACCCTGACACATCCCTCATCCCCAGCGCAGCTGGTGGGCCCTACTCCACCTCGTAAATCCTCCAAACCCAAGGGCTTTCCCTGCGCAGTGCACCCGCATATAGAGAGCACTTGGCTTCTGAAAATACCTGCACCTATGCGGGGGTCAGCCGATCGGGTTGCCTCATAAGCAATGAGCCGCTTCGCTCCTCCTTTTCTTGGGGGGAGGGGAAGAGTGGATTCTGCCAGCCCAGGAGGGCAAGGGTGTGGTGTGACTGTGGGGCTGGAGGCTTCCTGTGCAGGGGCAGCGGGAAACCTGGAGCCAGGAATGAGTGCGCGCGCGCGCGTGTGTGTGTGCGTGTGTGTGTGTGTGTGTGTGTGTGTGTGTCCGCGCTAGGACATGCCTGTGGGCCAGCAGGGAGCGTCACTTCTGGAAGGAGGCCTTAAAACTCCCAGGCACCTCAGAGGAAGGGTCAGAATGAGAGGGGCCTCTCCAGGTGCTGGTCCCATCTTTGGTCATTCATTTCAAATCTCCAAGTGTCTTCAAGTAGCAGGTTGTGAGACTGCTGATTCCATGACCTCTGGGCTGCGTTTGCTCTCTTCGCAGCTCTTTCGAGACTTGGAAAAGGGTCAGAGTCTGGATCCACAGGCCCACCCCAAAATAACCCCTTGGCTCATAAACAGGCACCAGACCTTGACTCATAAAATGAAAAACCATTTAGGGATCATCCCCCCCATCCCCGGGAGTAAAAAAAAAAAGAAAGAAAAAAGAAAAGGTTATTCTGATCTCTTAAGTATGGTGAGCAAATGGCTGTGTTGACAACACTGATTCATGAATTTAAGTGACTAACATGCCTTTCACTATGAGTTTCTAAGCCCTGGGGACTCCCTCTGATTCTGTTGTTCCTGGAAATGCATGATGTGTGCTCAGTAACTGCCGCTGCACTTTTCCAGATAGCACCAGAAGAAGGAAGTAGTTTGGCCTAGTGGCAGTGTTGTGTGGTTGTGGTTCAGCTTGTCCCAGCTGTGTGTCCTGGGCTTCTCAGGCCCAGGCAAGAGTAGGATGGCTACTGTGGAGCAGACCGAGCTCCTACAGTCAGCGGAAGCACCTACCGTCAGGGACGCAACAGGGGGCCCCTCCAGCAAGCAAGAGGCTCCATGGCGGAGAAGGGGGGGCGCGGGGAGAGGGCACCAGGGGGACAAGCTTCTGCTGTCAGAGCGGGGGCACTTCACCCACGTCTCTGGTCCTCCAACACACGGGCCAACCCCCATCCAAAGTTGTGAGAAATAGCGCTCGCCAAGGCACATTATTTCAGTGACAATCCGCAAGTTTCAGTTTCTAGCGGAAAAGCCATGGAGAAAGGAATCTCGGGTTGGCCTCGGGGCTTTCTGGTTGCTCCTCACCCTCTCTCTGCTACAACTGAACTATAGTTATATAAACAAACATTTAGTTAGTGCTCCCTGGGGGTGAGTCACTCTAAGTCTTCACATATATTATCTCATTTAATACCGAAAACAACCTAGGGCTGTGGGCACTGTTCTTCCCAATTCACAGATGACACAGTGGAGGGACAATTTGCTCACAGTTACCTTGGTGGGGTGGGCTTGCACAGAGGGTCTCACTCCTTTGACCTTCGGTGCATAGGCATGGCTTGGCTGAGTGCATTTGGGAATGTCCCACCTGAAAAAAAAAAAAAAGGAATACCCCATCTGGACATGCGTCACTGTATTTTTGCTCAAACATACTGAAGAGTGGAAATGACAGCTGCTCGTCCCCATCAAGGAATTCTTTCATTCAACCTCACAGTACTCTAGGGAGTGAGAAGGGCCAGTTATTTCTGTTTTTATGAAAGGGAAAACTAACAGTCCTTACGACTTACTGACTTCTCCTAGGTGACTCTTTGTAAGCTGCAATAGAGCTCAGCCAGAACGGGGTCCTGACCCCTCCCTTGCTCAGTGCCCCTTCCTGGGGTCAAAGGAAACAGCCGATCCTGGTGCTGCAGTCCAGGGGGGATACTGGGATCGGAACCTCCTTAGGAATACTGGGATCATGATACTGGGATCAGAACCTTGTTAGGAATGAAGCCCCAGTGTTGGGGTAGCAGAGTCTCTGGAGCTCTTCTCCCCTTCCCAGCCTCCCTTGGAGGTCTCAGAGCTGTCTTGTTCTCTCTCGCTCTTTGCAGCTCTGTTCCCCACTCGTTACCTAGAGGTTCCCATGGGACACACAGGAGGAAAGCCTGTCTACAGCACCCCACCCTGTTCCCTTCTCATCATGCTTCAGACCGTAGTCAGTGACTGAGGTTCTACAGTTCATTGGGGGACCAGGCATTAGGGTGGCTTTAGGGACTAAGGCACTTTCTGTGCCTCTATATTTGGGGGTTTTGAAGTCTGGAGCAGGAGAAAGTGAAGGTTATTGATGACTCAGTGGTCAAACCAAAAAGCTCCATCAGGAACCCTCTTCCTAGACAGAGAGGCAGGCTCTAGAGGAAGCATTTGTGGTCTAGTATTTGAGAGGAGTCTGTAGGTTCAGACCACCTTCTGGAAAATTCCCTTGCTCTGTGTAGACCCAGGCTGGAGGAAGCAGTGGAAAATTGAAAGGCCTGATTACCTGTAGTAGGATGCTATCTGTACAATTAAAGGTAAAGGCTGATGTCCTACATCTAGAACAGCAAGTGAAATGTATTCCAATGGTTACCATTCCTTAGGAGCTGCTGGTCAGTTATCCTGGAGCCAGAATGAGTGCTTGCATCCATGCCATTTAGTGTGGAAGAAGGACTCGCTGTTGGGAGATGGAATGTTGTCTGGTTTTTCTGGGGAGTTCAGGCTGAAACGCCTGCTGGGGGTATTCTCTGGGCTTTACACAAATCCCGACAATCACAAGATGGTACTGCACTCCAGCTTCCCAAATGGAATCCTGTTACTTTGCTGCTTAAAACCGTTCCGTAGCATCCTATTTACTCATAGGACACAGCCAAAATTCTGTGCATATTCTTCAAGATTCTACATGGTCTCCTCTTCTTATTTTTCCAGCTGTCTTACCCCACACTCCCTTTTGCTCTCTGCTCCACCCTTTCTGGTCTTCTTCCAGGTTTCCATACTCACTATATATATTTTTTTCCACCACTGGACCTTTGCACATGCTTTCTCCTCTGCCTAGAGCACTCTTCCCTCCTCTCTTCACCTGAACTCCTTCTCAACCCAAGCATTGCTTCTTCTGACAAGTCGAATCTGCCTATCAAAGGCTCTCATAGTTCTATGTACCTCCATCACTTATGCCTGATGAACTATAGCTGTAAATACATTATTTGATCATCTGTGTTCCCTAGACTATAAATTCTATGAGGACAGAAATCTTATATGTTTTTGCTTACTGCTTTATCTCCAGCACCTAGCAGAGTACATATTTGTTGAGTGAGAGCATGAATAAATCCCAAACTAAAATCCAACTCCAGGCACATTTAGGCCTGTGCTACTAAGGCCAGCCATAGAATCATAGAATTTCAGAGTTAAAGCCCACCCACACCCCAGCCTTCAATCTGTCCATCAATACTGCTGTTAGCATAATGCTTTTTCTGTTAAAAAATGAAATCTCAGCGTTCACAGATAGTAAAGTATATTGTTTTTCTTCTCTCTCCCCCACATCCTGTGTCCTCTCCTTGTCTGTTGAATTGGTAATCGCTAGCATTTATATTAAATGACATGCCAGGTGTTGTTGTAGAAAATAAGTTAAAAAAAAAAAAAAGGCCTGGGCCCTATTAGTGTGAAAATAAACAGTGCTGCTCTGAAAAGAATATTCTGGGCCCCAGAATACCACCCTCACTGGCCTATACTTTCACTTTGTCTGCATCATAATCAATCATAAAGGCCTTTCTTCCCAGCCACGGCTGCCCAGAACCTCCTCCCTACAATAACTTCTTCCCGTTTGGTGTGATACCAGTTTCCTCCATAATGAAAGGGGAACATAAAACTCAGAATGTTGGAACAATAACCATTGTGTTCCTAGTTTAAAAGCCTTGTATTAAATCCAAAACCTGAGGTAAGAGGTTGTGACAGCAGAAGGAAAAGGGATGGGAATGGGGTGGAAATGGGATAGGGGCATCCAAGCAACAGCTAACCTGTCTTTGTCTTCTTTGCAGTGGCAGGCCATCTCTCTGACAGTCATTGAGAAGGTTCAGATTGCAGCTGCCATCTTGGGTTCCCTCTTCCTCATCGCCAGTATCTCTTGGCTTATCTGGTCAACCTTCAGTCCCTCAGCAAAATGGCAACGCCAAGACCTCCTCTTCCAGATCTGCTATGGGATGTATGGATTCATGGATGTGGTGTGCATAGGTGGGTCTGGGGGTTTGTCTCTATGGGAAGTGGGGAGCCATATGCTGGTGAGCTAGACAAATCTCTCAGGACCCCTCCCTCTGAAATGTCGAAGCACAAGGCTTGAGAGCTATAAGCTCGGTAGGAGCCAACACTTTAGATTTAAGGTGTCAGTGGGGTGGGGGAGGAGGCAAGCCAATGAGGAAGATCTAAATCTTTCCGAAGCAAATCTGTTCTTGCCCAGTTGAAGATAAGGATAAGGAGGATTGCCTCTAAGGAGACGAGAAAGGTCAGTTGGTCAGTCTGTCTGCTTCAAATAGAATGTGGAAGCTCTCCTCTCTGTTGTGTTCTCCATGGCTGCCAAGCCGTGACAAGGGATGACTATACATTTAATCCATTCACGTCCCAGCAAAATGCCCAGAAACAGCCATCGTGATACCTGCCCCTCTCCGCTTTTCTTCAGCTTTCCATGAGCCGATTATAATGCCCCAGATGTCTCTAGTCTGGTGGTTTTCAAACTGTATATAGTCCCGATGTTCCACACACAGCTTCAGGAACCAGTTTGGGAGTGGGCAATGGAACGCAGTGCAGACAGGCTCCGAATCTTCACCCTTGCTTCACCTTGAGTTTTGGTACTTTTATCCACTTATATACGTTTCTGTTCTAAATTACTCTTCGGTGTTTGAGAAAAAAAGTTGGAAACCCTCCACTTTAATTCCTGCCTGTTCCCTTATACCAGTCCCAAATCTGTGCTCCTTCCTCTTCTACTAAGTTAGGTTGATTGGTGGAGGCCTGGGTCTTTTTGTTCTTCCACACAGATGCTTTTGGTTTTCAACTCTGGAGCTGTCATTCAAGTGACTGAGGTCCTGGTTTTCTCTCAGGGACATGAAGCACTGGTCATTCAGCCTAATCTGGAAGTCTCAGGTTGTCCCCTAGGCCATGGTGCTGATAGCATTGAAGTTCCACAGTTGTGTTTTCTGGGCTTTGGTTTGTATATTTTATCAAATATGCTACACTGCTCTGTTTGGCAGGAAAACATCTATTAGCTAGAATTTGGCTGGGAGGATGCTATGTGAGTTTCTTTGGGGTTCTTTAATATCAGAGTCAGAGAGGCCTGGAGACTCACATGCTGATTATAGCAGCCAGAGACCAGTGATGCTGGCACTTGGATACTTGTCTTAGCATCTCGCTCCCTCTCTCTGCTAGCTAAACCAATATATCCACCCTGAGTTCAACAGCCTTTTTAAAAGCATCCTTTTATGGCACCTGGACAGACGGCCCAGGTTTGGAGGACTGTGGAAGAGAGGACTGTGAATGGGGAGGAATTTGACTTTGAGCATTTCTAATTTAGTTCCCCCTCCACCAAAATCCCTTCCTACCCCACTGAGGCATGGGTGGTGGCTGCCAGAAACCAGGTGTGTCTCCATATGGAAGTGTACAGCTCTGGCATGAAGGAGGGCAGCAGCGGAGGGCCTGGAGGAGCCTCTCCAGCTGCCCTTCATTCTCCTTCAGGCAGGCTTTTGACTGGTCCTGATGTGTGCTTTGACGAGACTTGCTTTCCTGTCGTGTGTGTATCAGTCAGCTTTGGCTGCAGTAATAGGCAACTCCAGCACTGCAGTGCCTCATGACAATGGGCATTTATTTCCCGTGGCTAGGCCTGCCTGATGGCTGTGGCTCAGCTGGCCTTGGTCGGCTTGGCTTCTGACTAAGTATTGGGTTCCAACCTGAGTGGCTCCTTGTGCTGGGGCCCAGGCTAAAGGGGCAGGGACTGCTGGGGTATACCCTTCTAGCTAGGTACAAGAGCACAAGAGGACTGGTGGAAACTTGCAGGGCCTCTCGAAGCTTCTGCTCAATACTGGTTTACTGTCCCCTCCACAGCCCATGGGCCAAAGCAAGTCATCAAAGAGCCCAACATCAGTGTGGGGGTGGGTGAGGGAAGCATATTCCTCTTCCCCTGAAGGGAACATGGGAGGGAAAGAGGAGCATAAATGCCACCTGCCATGCAGGGCTTCATAGATTTGAAGACTGAGATGAGTGAATATAGAAGAGATCATGGGATCAACCCGTACAACTCCTGTTTTGAAGTTGAGAGAACTGGGGCTCAGAGAAAGGAAGTGATCTGCTCAGGATTGCTCAGCTGGGAATAGAAGCAAGGTCTCCTGATTGTCAGTCCAGTGCTCTTTCCGTTATCTTCTTGCATCAGACAGCAGGAGTCTTCAGTGTACCTTATGCATAAACATCTGCATAAACATATGCATAAACATATACATAAACATCTGCATAAACATATGCAGATGCTACCTGCAACTTTGAGTGCACTTGAGCCCACTTACAGGAAGAGCCCTCACAAACCGGCCTGCTCCATGTGGCTCTGTGGGCCACCTAGCACCCCTGCTTGGGCCTTCCTGGCACTCTGCTCTCTCCTGCTCATAGTATCTCCCTCTGAGTAGGGCTCCACAGAACCATCTCGTCCTCTTGGCTTCTCTCCATCTGCCTCCCTCCAACCCATTTCTTTTCCATTTTTTTAAATAATTGTTTTATTTTTTTTATAATCATATAATGTATTATTAGTCCCAGGGGTACAGGTCTGTGAATTGCCAGGTTTACACACTTCACAGCACTCACCATAGCACATACCCTCCCCAATGTCCATAACCCCACCCCCTTCTCCCCACCCCCCTCCCCCCAGCAACCCTCAGTTTGTTTTGTGAGATTAAGAGTCTCTTATGGTTTGTCTTCCTCCCTCCAACCCATTTCTATCTCTCAAATTCTTTCTTTTCTTTCTCTTCATATATATATGGCACTCAATCACCCAATTTCTGGAAGAAGGACAGTGAGCTAAATATTGAGAGTTTCATTTCTTCCAAGCTTTTAGGAAAACATAATTTCCCAGGATGCAAAGCCACACCATGATCTGTCCTTTCTGCTCTGACAAGCCAGTGACTGCCTGGAGATAGCCATTGGACAAGAGGGGGCTGCATAGGGATCATAAGTGCTTTGAGTGCCATCCCAAAGGGGTCAGATATGTTTACATTTAGACTAGCTCAACTTTAAAGAGTTTAGACTGTGCTATCATTTTGTTGATTATAAGTGGAGCTAATTCAGTTGTTAGACCATTTCCCCATGGGCAATAATTTTCTTCCCATTATTCTAGATGGGGAAACTGATACTGAAGGATTTGTCTTAGGCTGACTCAGGCAGCAGAGCAGGACTCTCATTTCAGTGTTTTTCTAGGAGAGGGAGAAAATTCTAGGAGACAAAATAAAAAAGAGAGAATATATGATCTAAAAAAGAGAGTGAAAGATGGTGGACAGTAGTTGAAATGCACAAACAGATTCTTGTGATGGTTGCATTGATGATGATTTTGATATTGGTGATGATAATCAGTAGTGATGTTGGTGGTTTCAAGGGTAAAGTTTAGGTATCAGTCACTTACCTCTCTTCTGTAGTATTCTGGCCAGTTGGGGGAAAACACTCAGTGCTACATAAGTGGTTATAAAGTATCAGCTCTTAGGGTCTCCCTGGTAGGGATAGTCAGGTGGAGCCTGGAATGTCCACCAGCCGTGTATTTATTTTTAGGCTCAACTAGACACTTGACTCACAGACCTACAGGAGAGTACACTTGGCACTAGATTCACTTAGGGGAATTTAGGACAGGAGCCACAGTCTCCACAAGGCAGTTTCAGCATACTTCTGCAGGTGAGTCCTTGCTGCACTCCATATCCTAGTCCAGAGCTCATCTCTCAGCGCTCAGATGATAGCTCAGGAAGAAGGAGATGAGAGCCACAATACCACCTTGACATAATTTCCCCACAAAAGTCATATGCAGTTACCAGTGTCCCTGTACTCAGGGACACCCAAACTACAGCCTCCTACCAGGCATTCTTAGTAAAGCAGCCACCAATCAGGGTTACCTCCACCCTAGGGAATTTTGTAACACAGCTGACACTCCACCTTCCTCAGAATTCCAGGGAAACAAGCCAGAATGGCAACTCAGGGTCTAGTTTGTTTTGAGAGAAGGAGCAAGTATGCCGTCATCTCTATCCTACCACCTCCTGCCTCTACCCATGAATCTTGACTTCTTGACACACAAACCTGTTTCACTGAACCAATGCAAGACAGAGGAGCTGGAACGTGGAAGGAGACTGGGTAGGTAAGCCAGAAGGAAGCACAATGTGGTCTTCTTAGTGCAGAAAAATGAACAACATGGACAAGAGAGTCACAGAGCAGCACCTCTATTACTATAAAGGGGGTCATCAGTTCTAAAACTCAGTCAATTAGCTTATTCCTATGGGAAAAGGGACATTTCCCATCCAGAGCTCCTAAGAAAGTAGAAGAAGATGATGTGACAAAGTGGACAGAGGAAGAGATGATTCCTTACCAGAAAGTAGATGGAATTGATAATGGGAGAGGTGAGTATTCTCAAGAAATGTTGGTTGAAAAAAAAGTTGAATGAAAAAGTCCATACCCATAGACCCAAGGTGCTTGGATGGATGGAGCAATGCAGTACTTGGATAGAAATTTACCGTCTGAAGAAGGAAAATGAGTTTAGTCCTAGGAAAATGCGTGCTAGCTCCAAAGGCTGAGTAAGAAAGGAATACGACCATCTGTTAAAATGAGTCTTTGGACTTTCTCTGTTTTTCAGACACCAAGAACAGTTTGTCTATTCCCTAAGACTGTTAAATGGCCTCAGACAGTAAAGAATCTGAGTAAACATGAAACCTATAGCTTTAAGTAATCCTTAAAAATAGACTAAGCTTTGATCAGAACAGTCTTCTAAAGGAAGACTCATAAGAGTGGAAAGGACATAAAGAGACACTCCATTGGTGCCAACACCAGCTGAGCAGATATTCTCTGCCATGACACCAAGAGAATGCAGAGCATGGGACATGGTCACCTTGCTGCCCACGAAACCACATTGGCTCCATCCATGGCTATGTCCACCTGGCTGACCTCCAGGGAAGGGCCTTTGGTTCTCACCAAAGAATTTTGCCTAGGATGGATGTCAGGAAGGTCTGGGT